CCCTTTTGCAGTTAATAGAATAATGATTAAATTGCCACAGTCTTGTAAATGTGGGAGGAAAGATCTGGGGTCTGCTTTGATTGCAAGACCCATCATTAAAATTGCAGTATTAAATAAAGGCCACTAAAACTGTAATAGATTTTTAGAGGAAGGAATGCTTTCAACTATACAGTTATCACTGGATATGATATGCATATGTTAGTGCTAATTGTAAACTGTGTTATTAAAACAGCTGTAGAGAGAGCATAAGTGTCAGAACTCTAGGGAGGGAACATGGACTTTCATGGTGATTACATGAATTAAAACAAGTAGATGTCTTATGACATTATCAGGGATATATTTGTAAGCCTACAATGTCATGACTGGAGTGTACCCTAAATTTACATAGGCTGATGTGTCTTTGTGTCTATCCGGATAAAAGCCATCTGCGTGGCATCTGTGGATTACTAGACAAATGTAAAAGCTTTAAGCAGATTTCACAGCTCCTTTTAGGATACAATTTTAGTAGAAGGAATCGTATTGACCTTTAATGCTAACTATGCACACACACACCCCCCCTCCAATTTTACAAGTTGAAACATACATATCAGAACTTGTAGTATTTGAAATATACAGAGAAGGAATGTTTGTGTGACAATTTCTGGTGGCTACTGACTTTTTAAACTTTTTTCCAAGACATTATGATATTGGGGGCTGGTAGAAACCACCTCTCCAAAAATTGCCTTTCCTTATCTTTTCTACCTTGGAGGGAAAAAAGCTTTCTGGGTTACTAGATACTGCATTTCCCACTTGTGTCACACCCTGTGTAGGTTAGAGATGACCAGATGGTGTAATACGATCACAGCACAGTGCTGTGACAAGCAATTCTCTTCTGATTGTCTGAATGAGTTTTACAAACCCAGTTACAACTACTCCTTTTCAAGTTTAAGCATGACATTAAGAAATTCTAAGTATGCTGCGTTGTGTAAAGTTTATAATCCTACTTCTTACTGCTCGTGATCTTTGAGTTGTGATATGGTCTGAACTTAGTCTTACTTAATCAGGTTTCTGTCTTGAATCTTGGCACATTCATTGTCTATCCCTACCCTGTCAGGCAAACAGTAATTTTAAGAACAGCTCCTTTCAGCTCTCTGGGCCTGTGAAATGTACTATTTTTTAAGTTTATTCTAAACTTGTTCTTGAAAAGAAAGATGTATTTCTTAATAAATCATCTATAAGTTTGCGGAACTATTCATGTAGGTATTTGTCAAAATTCCCTATGTGCCTTCCTAAGCATCAAGTTCTGGTATGTTATTACCATGATGGCTTTTTCAGATTCTTGGGGGTTTTTGTACTTCACTTGTTCCAACAAGCACTTGAATGCCTTGGTTTGATTACTGTTTCCTTGGTATTAATCAAGTGTAAGCATTTTTGGGGTTGTTTGGGGTTTTTTTTGTTTGCTGTTTAGTTTTTTAGTTGCAGTGAGATTGCTCTGCTGTTGTATTCATGCATGTGAAATTGGGTCCCAGAGCCTTGTTTTTTGACAATCCACCTAGGTCTTGTCCATCCCAGGAATTTCTTGCTTGGGACAGGAAGTGACACTGCCAACTGGCAGAATTTCATCTGGCAAGCACTGGCTTGTCACAGGTTTTTGGGCACGTCATCGAACCTGTTGGTGAAGTAACTGCAACAAATCCCTGTGTACAGAGAATGGGCGCAGAAGGAAAATCATGAAGTAGTTACAGCAGTTTTGGCTGTTCAGAACCCAAAACCTTCTTACTACTTCTGTTTGGTTAAAGCCTTTCTGTGTTAACTAGGATAGCTTAGGGAGACCCCCAAAGTACTTTTAAGTCTCACGTATTATTTTATTATTCTTCCATAATTACACAAACTACTGCTTCAGAGTTACACATTTTCCTCCTCTTCATGAATATGTTTCTTGGTATGTTATGGTGGTTAAAAAGAGTGTTGTAGGATACTAGAGTTGAAGAGTCCCTTCTGAATACAGTGCATCTAAATTAGTTTTGCATCCACACCATCTTCATCAGGAATGCTCGTCTTCAGCTCTTGCATACTTCAGTGAGGCTATTCTGAGCTGTGTCGCTCCAGAGGAACTGCCTAGACTGGGAAGGAAATGTATCTGATGGATCTTAATCACTAGACAGCTTTAGAAGTCACGGCTAAGGTCCTGAACTGGCAATAGAAGCCACATGGAACTGATGAGATGATCTTAGCATGGGACTAAAGGCTTGTAGCATTCCCTTTTTGCAGCTGACACGGGCTTGTCTTGTTCTGCACATCCAAGTTTAATTCGAAATAGAGTACATAAAGATGATTCAAGTACAAAATGCTGACCACTCTGAAATGATTACTGCTTCAAAGCTACTGTACTTGTTTGATGACACATAACAACTTAAGATACTTTGGGGTAGATGTTTAACAGTTGAAGGAAGTTTTTGAGTTTGGCACTTTCCAAATCTTGAAATTGCTGAGGGTGGCTTTTAATCTGATGTATTAAATAGTGTGCAGTGTACTGCAGGTGATCTTTTCAAGACAAAAGGATGTAGAGCCTTCAAGGTTGATTTAATGTGAGAAGAATAAAGTTGCATTATCTGGTCTTCACTGTACTGCCCATGTGTTCTTGCTTTCTCCGTCTTCACTAGATGTCCTTCTGAGCCTGAGTTTGCGTGTTAATTTTCTTTGTGTCCTCTTGCTGGTGTACCTAGAAACAGGGTGTCACTAGAGAGTAGTCTTGATAAAGCATCTGCACTGAATGAATCTGCACGTGGCTTGCAGGGCTAAAATGTAGAGAATCATTGCATTCCCACACCTGGACTACTAGTCCTGTTTCTGCTTCCAGTCAAACATTGTTTGGGGTTATAGATGCTGTGCCAGAAGAGTATTGTCAGTGTGGAGAGACCTGTGGGTTGGTAATACTGTACTTTGAGGGAATTTGGGTGATAAGATCTCATAATGGGTATGCAGTCTCTCAAAGAATAAAAGCCAGTTTGTTTGAAAGTAACAGGATATCTGAAATGTGAGTAGTATTTTTGTGGACTTTCCAACAGTGCTTAATAGAATTTGTGTCTCTTGAGTTTCTTAACAACCTTTTGAAATACCTTATTAGAATACAGGATTGCGATGCCAATAATGAGAATATACTTGTAGCTTAATTTGCATTCTTTTTCCCTTATATTTGCAGGTTTCTCTATTTGATGGATCCCACAGAAACAAAACTAACATGTAAGAAAAGTGTGTCCTCTTAATCCTTAGTTCGACTTTGAATTCCGTTTTTAAAAGCACAGTTGTTTTGAATGGGTGGAAAAAAAAAAAAGGAAAGATTACCTTGCAGATTTCTGCTATGAAGTAAATTACTGTCTCCAGAATCTGAACCTTCACTTAGTTAATTTCTGGACATCTTGGTTTTACGGGGAAAAAAATTGAAAAATGTGCATAAGTGAATATGGGCAGGGAGAAAGCAGAAAAAAACATTTCTTAAACAAGACCAGCCACTGGATTGTTGCATTGACTGTGCTTTCTTGCTGTCTTACGTGTACTTTCTGATATGTAATTTAGTAGTTCCTGCAAGCTTTCAGTTCATCTGAGGAATAATTGTTTACCCTTTTTATCCAAGTCAATTTATGAACCTGGAGGAGTATTCATCCAGCTGGATATTTTATTTTCTAGTGCTCAGCATTCTGTAACATGGCTGTGCACCAGTATGATCTCTTAAAAACTTGGTGTAACTTTGGGCACCGTGTTCTGTGCTTTGAAATGTTGATAAGGATTCTTACTGTCTCTGTGTCCTCAAGAGACCTTATGGATAACAGAGCACACTCCCCTCCCCTTCTTTCCCCCTCCCCCCCCCCCCCCCACAACACTATTTTTTCTTCTC